AGCCATTTAACTGTGTCCCCGTCAGCAGAAAAGAGGTGGACACCGAGAAAGATAATCCCAATGTGTATCCTGCTCTGTTTCAGCCACATGTCTCCTGGTCCATAACTCAAATTGAGTTTGTGGCGGCCCTTAGAGACTGGTACCCTGATAATAGCACCCAGGGGTTTATCTGCTGCTGGGCCCCTGCCCATGCCCAGGAGCAGACTTTTGTAGTCACATAATTTTAAACAAAATGAATTAACCCTGAAAATGCCACCTCATTCCTGCCCAGGCTGATGGCCCCATGTCTCTGATGAGAACTCTCCAGACCTAGAAAGAGCAAGTGCCCCTTCTTACCTGTTCTTGCTGCTCAGCACAGGTGAATGGGCTTTGCCTTTTTTTGTTTTGTTTTCTTTCTTTCTTTTTTTTTTTTTTTATTTTGTTTTTTTGAGACAGGGTTTCTCTGTGGCTTTGGACCCTGTTCTGGAACTCACTCTGTAGATCATGCTGGTCTCGAAATCACAGAGATCTACCTGCCTCTGCTTCCCAAGTGCTGGGATTAAAGGTGTATGCCACCACACTTGGCAGGCTTTGCCTTTTTTTTTTTTTTTCTCTTCATGTAATCCTGTGAGGCTTTCTGGATTTGCCCCCAAGAGAGCAAATGGCGAAAAATCCCTCTAACTTTTGTAGTAGAGTGGAGTTCTGAGAAAGTGAAACCCTCTGGTCACAGCAGTGAATCAACAATGGTGTAAAAGTTCAGTGAGTGGTGTTAGGGGGAGGGTTTGTCAGAGCTTTCCAATCAGAATCTTCAATACTTGGTTCAAAGAGAGCTTGAGGCCATTTGTTATTTAAAATCGTGCCACAAGAGGGAGCCCAAGCCTGACACTATCTGCATGGCTAGGAACCAGTGCAGAGGCTGGATAGCCCAGAAATCCAAGATAGAACCAAACAAGAAAAAAAAAAAAAAAAAAAAAAAAAAAAAAAAAAGGCAAGCAAGCAATCAAACAAACAAACTAATAAACAAACAAAAACCAACTAAAACACACCCAAAGCATTTCCTTTGTCGATCACCTGTGGGCAGGTCCCTGCAAAGGTCTGATGGGAGATGTCATTATCGCATTGGTTAATGAATGAAGCACTGTTGGCCCATAGGAAAGCAAGATAGGTGGGACTAGGAGACAATGAGGATTCCAGAAGGAGTAGGGAGGAGATTCAAGATGGAGGACCTACAGGGTAGTATGCAGGGCTTCCTCTCGGATAAGACCACGTGGAAGTACTTAGATTAATAGAAATGGGTTAATATTTAAGACAGAGCTAGCCAATAAGAAACTAGTAACTGACCTACAGCTTTATATCAAATACAGCATCTCTGTGTGTTATTTGAAGCTGGCACTGCAGTGGGACCAGACTGGCAGGAAAAACCTACTCATAACAGAGGTCAGAAGAGGGTGTGGGATCTCCTGGAGCCAGAGTTACAGACAGCTGTGAACTGCTCTGCATGGTTGCTGAGTGTGTGTGTGTGTGTGTGTGTGTGTGTGTGTGTGTGGGCGGGGGTAGGATGGGAGTGTGATGGGGGAGAGCATGGGAGGGAGGGAGAGGGAACTGGGATCGATACTTAAAATAAGAATAAATAAACACATAAATAAAAACTTTATGTCAACAATGAAATTAATAAAATCAAAATCATCACTCAAAAAAATAAAAAATAAAAAAACAGACTCTGGTCTTTGTAAGAACAGAAAGCCCTACTCTTAGCCACCAAACCATTCCTCGGGCCCTTAATGTGCTTTTAATAGTTTATCAGACCATGATGTCTACACGGCTGCCCCATGTGGGTTTTGGAAAGCAGAAAAGTGGGTTTTGTTTAGCCGGGTTCTGTATAGATTCAAGTTGGGTCTCTGTACCACTGTGTCATACCAACACCATCAGAAACGTTCTTCCCTTGTATGCCCGTCCCTTCCGCCTTTCTGAATTTGAAGTCTACACAGTCTCCAAACAATGGATAAGGAAAGCCTCAGGCTTCCTCCAATTCTTCTGAAAGAAAAGATTTGCTGGTGTATGCAGGACAAACTGCATTCTTTTTTATTTCAGGCAGGAGTGAAAGCAGACAGGTTTCGTTTCTTGGAAACCAACTAGATGTTAAGAAACCAGAGGCTTTTCTTCCTGAATGGGTTGGAGCTTGTTTGTGCAGTTTGTTGTACAGTCTGTTGGAAGTTTTTTTTCCAAGTCCTGAGATTATTAACATCAGGTACAACAAAATATATTTATGCTAAACTGCAGATTACATACATGAACTCCATAGCAAGCTCCACTGCACAGTAACAAGGATCACAGAGTTCACACAGAACAGGGGCAGGACCTTCACATGAGGAAAATGATGGACACAATGAATGTGTGTGTTTACTGACCCAAGTACTGCGCACACAGCACTGTGTGGATATACAGGGAAGATGAGGACTCGTCAGACCCAGTCACTGCCCTAACAGGGTTACTGCAGTGGGTAAACTGGACTCCTCAGAGGGTTGTAGAGCAGAGGGAAGCAAGAACTCCACATACTAGATAACGGAATAGCCCAAGATTGCCAAGGGGAGCACTAGGAAACTTCACAATGAGGAATTTGTTTTAATGGTTATACGTGAAATAGATTCATATCATTGAAGCATGGTCTTGCAGTATTTTTTTTTACTCTAATTATTTCCTGATATGTGTTCTATTATTTTAATAAACTCTGGTATTAGTTACATACATTTTAAAAAAGATAATTCTCACTATGACTACCTTCAAACTGATAGATCTCTGCCTTAGCTCCTCAAGTCTTGTGACTTGAAGTGTGTGGGACCACACCAGCCCCTACACACGTTATTAGAGATCTCACGGTGTCTTTTCAGAGCTCTGCTTTGACCCCTGTGAGCAACATAATTCTCTCATCAATATTAGGATCGTTTTGTGAAGTTTCAGAAGAATTGTGTTTGTATTTAACATAGTGTTTAAATACACACTGATTTATAAATATTAGTTTTTAGCAAATTCCTCTCATTTTGAAGCTTGAATTGTATTCCACTTATTTTTAAGTCATTTTAAATCTCATGTAATTATTTGGCACATTTCTTCATTTCCATTCTAAAAAGTTGTCTTTGTTGGGTTTTTTGTTGCAACAATCAGGGAAGTAACGAATGTGGTAAGGTTTAGTGTGTGCTTTATTGAGAAATTATTTGATTTATCTGACTTGCCAATGTTATTCACATGGAGTTGTCATAATTCTTATTTTAAAATGTTCTTTGTTAGTCACAGCTTGTTTTCTAAATCATATTCATTACATATATTTATTATCCATGTTGCTGTGTCATACAAGGATATTTTCATATAAGCATATCTTGTATGTTTAGCACACCCCTGTGCCTTTTCCTTCTCTTCATGTCTTCCCCTGCTGCTAGTCCCTATTGTTTCCTAAGCAGTTACATTTTGACTTTTATGTCATATATATATACATATACAATTTTATATACCTATATGCAGTCTAAGAGTTATATATTAAAGAAAACATACATTTGTTTTTCTGAGACTGATTTAACTTGCTTAATGAGATTTTCTCTGGTCCCATTCACTTCCAGCAAACAGCATAACAGTTCTCAACTACTTCCCACCTTATTTTTTTAGACAGGGTCTCTCAGAGAACCCAGAGCTGATCTGTTGACTAGGCTGGCTAGTAAACCCCAGGGATCCTCCTGTCTGCACCTGCTCCAACCTCAGTGCTAGGCTTATAGGTGTGCACCATCATGTCTGGTTTGCTTTGTGGGTGCTGGGATCTGAATGTAGGTCCTCGTGTTTGCACATCAAGCACTTTACCCACGGAGTCATGCGCTGCCCGCCCCCCCCCCACCCAAATTCTCCATCCCTTTAAAAGATGTTAACCATTTACTGTTAGAGGAATTTTATCTTCTGCTCAATAGTCAGTTGTAAAGAGCGCCTTGGCCCAAAGGGCGGAACTTTCATTAGAGGGCGCATAACTCAAATACCCGAATAAAAAAAATACCAGGGCAGGGCAAAAGATGCTCTCTTGGGTGTAGGCGAACCATGGGAGCACACGTAGCTGTTGACTCCGTTCTCATGCTCCTTGAGAACAAATTGAGAACAAAACGGTTGCGACAGAAATGGCGATGGTGTACCGTTTGGACTCACAGCAGCAGCAGCTTCATTTTGTTTTGTGAGTGTAGTACTTTGATCTACTAAACTGAGCATGACCCCATTTGGCTTTCTTCCTTAACTTATATTTTTGGCAGTTGAGGTGTAGTTCATCTATACTCCATAGTACTAAGAGCTGGTCAATACATGGAAAATAATTTTTATTATGCTTGGGGAAAATCAACAGGATTTCAAGTACAGCTGCTAATAGGAAAAAAGATTAGTGCAAGTTTATGGTTACAGATAAATTATGAAAGCACCTTTGATAACTACAGATTACCCATCATCATTCAACACCCATCTTTAAAGTTACTGCTTCTCATGCTTAAGTATCATGTTTCGATGTTTGGAAATGTGCCATTGCAGTTTCAATCATAATGGTGTGTTGATAGGATTTTCCAACACCATTGCTCACAAGTCATGCCATTGCTGAAAGGTTGAGCACTTTTGACATACTGCAGAACTTCATGTTGTCTCCAGTAAGGAATGAGGCTGGCTGTCCCTGTCCTTCAGAGTCATCACATCCCTGGACATTGGTTCCTAATTATGTGCCACGATATAAGAATATGCTCAGTGTCCATTTGCTTCCTGGAGATCATCTGGGAGAGTGACTTTATTCTAGGCAGTGCTCTTGATACCGCTCCTGTAGTAGAGATGCCAATGACATCCTTGGTGCAGTGGAGAATAAATGATTTCAATGATCACACTACACATCTTTGTAGATTTTTAGGTTTCTGATGCAGGACCCAATTATTATAAACCAAAGCGACTCTTGTTCCCAATTCTACACTCTATTCATCTCTGTTTTGATTGGCAGGACAGACCTATTATTTAGGCCTTTAACTAATGACACATGTGCGTGAGGCTTGCTTTTCATTGAGATGCCTTATCTCATTTTGAAGTTCTTTTCGATCCAATTGGAATTTCTCATTTAGTTGTTGAGCTTGTTCCTAGAATGGGACAAGTGGAGACAATAAATGGTTGTGTTGAGCCGATCCCTAAATTCTGTGCATTTTCCTTGTAATTAATTTTTATTATGCAATTCCTTAAATTTTTCTACCTTGAATTTTTATTATGTTCTTTAAATTGTTTTTAGTCATGAGTAAATTTTAATATTCAGAAGTTTCCTATTTTTTTCCTTTTTGGATTTTTTTAACCCCCTCTCTCAATTATGCTTTTCTTTCGGCAGCTGTGGTCACTTCTCTTGGGGGTTCCCTTTACTAAAAACAGTTCCACCAATAAAGCTTAATTATCAGTATAAGTTTTGTCCTCAGTGGTTGCCTATGATCTATGTAGGTAATCTTAGTCATGTGTTTGATTTCAAATTTTAGCATTATAGACTTTAGTACACCCATCTACTCATATCTTATGTAAATATGCACCATAAGAATGACTAAGGCTCTGAATCTTAGTCTAAGAAAGTCAGTCAGGGGTAGGGGATGGCTGAGCCAGGAATGTGACTGATGTATAAGCATGAGAACCTGAGTTAGAATCTCAAGCACTCATGTAAAAGTTAGATGCAGCACTGTGTGTAACACCAGGCTGAGAAGGCCGACATGTAAATCCCCAAAAATTCATTAGCTAGACAAGAAAGCCCCATTATTGGGTTCAATGTTTAGTGAGAGACACTGTCTCAAAAAAATATGGTGGCGAGCAATGGAGGAATATCTAAACTAATTTTAAGCCTTCACATCCATGTGTATACATGAACAAGCACAAATATACACAGGCAGAGAGGGGGGAGGGAAATGAGGAAGAAGAAAAGAAGAAGAAGGAGAAGAAGGAGAAGAAGGAGAAGAAAATAATTTAGTGTAAACTCCATAATGTCATAGCAGGGTAAGAGACAATAGAAAAGAGAATCAGATTTCCAAACTGAAGCTAATGAATTTTGTTATAGAACTCCCAACTGAACACAGACTGGGAGCATAGGAAAGATGAGGGACAGACAGACTGTTACATAGTTGTGAGGATTAAATAGTTCCTCTCACTGTAAACACTCTCTTAGGAATAAACTCATACCAGTGAGACAGAAAAACACTTTTCCATCATATGTATCTTATAAATAGTGTTTGTTTATTTGTTTGTTTGTTTTTTTGAGACAGAGGCTCTTCTCCTTTGAATTCCCTATATAGCAGATGATGTCTTTGACCTTTTAATCCTCCTGCCTCAATTTCCCCAAAGTATTAAGATTGCATATATTTTTTAATCTATGTGAACCTGTGTTACTTTCTTCCATTTTAATGGGGGATATAGTTCATGGTTCATACAGTCTTAAGAAAGAAGTAAAGATAAAACATAAAGAGAATAACTTCCATAAATAAACAGAAATATTACTAAAGGACTTAGTGTGACACCATTACACATTGAAAACTTAACCATCAGATATGAGCAACTGACTGTTAAGCATGTATTTAGGAATAAACAGCACATGGGAGCAGACTTGGTCAGAGTTTAGGTCTCATTACATTTCATGATTAACATAAATGGAGAGAACAGGAGGCTATATAGATGGCTCAGGAGAAAACGGTGTGTTACAGACTGGAATTCAATTCCAAGCATCCCAGTCAGGGAATCTGACTCCTTCTTTCAACCTCTACAGTTACACATGTACAAATAAACACACACACACACACACACACACACACACACACACACACACACACACTCTCACACACACACTCACACTTCAATTTTTTTATGGAGAAAACATAGAGGTGGTGCAATTAACATACCCGAAGTTTGTGTTCCATGACCTTCTGCTGCTCTTCCCTCATCTGGGCTTGCTCCTTCTCCATCTTCTCAGCCAACTCTTTCATGCGATCCTCGTAGCTCCTCGCTTGCTCCTTCATCAGCTGGTCATTCTTCTTTTGCATTTCCTGCATCATTTTTGAGGCAGCTTCTGCAGCTTCAGCTTTTGCACGCTGCACTGGGAAGAAAAGCAAGAAGGAAGGTGTAACTGCATCACGTGACAACTTTCTTCCTCCTCACTTCGTTGTTACTGCTGATGTCATAGTACTACCATGTCGGATGCCACCCGTAAAACACAGCTTTGGGTCCCAAATTTACAAGCAATTTAAACATTCTACACTAAAAATTGAACACTAAACCGTTAAACACTTCGAGGACACTTAACCCCTTAACTCGTAATTACCTTCAATCTCCCTTTCCTTTTCTGTCAGAGTCTGGTCCATCTGTAGAATTGCATCAATCATATCCTCCTTGGACTGTAAAAATTTCTGCAGAGCTTCCTCAGCCTTCGAGTTCAGAGAACATGAGGTTAACAGCAGGAATGACTGAATGCTTTTGTGCCTGTCTCCCTACCCCCTTTGGTCTAGTGATGCCTTTTAGTGCTAAGAATAGCAGCCACAGAAAGAGGTGCACAGTCTAGGCTGGACCACTGTAAAGAATATCTTTTATTAGAGGCCTGTTTTGGAAAACAGAGACTTTCCTTTTAGACTGAGGGATCTAATTTTGGAGTTAATGGTGCTCTGGTCATAGATGGGGAAAGTTTGCTTCAGCCCTTATACAGAACAAAAAGATCTGATGGAAGGAGAAATAGAGGGAAGTATGGGTCTGGGGAAGAGTGGTGGACAGAGAGATAGTTAGACACAGTTTTAAAGCTTGTTTGAAGGCCACACTGATGAATGATAAGTTTTGTTTAAAAGGCCATCATTGGATCCTTTGTAACACAGGGTGACAGTCATACTGGTGGTTAATGTGACTGTGCATTGTCAACTCAATTATCAAATGTGTACACTGTCTTATGAGTAAGCAGGACAATATGATAATGTTTACATATGTGATGTTTAAGAAGCATATGCCTAGAATGCAAACAGTAAGACCTTTTCATAGTGATGCTTGGGATCACTCTTCAGTCTGAAGGAGGTGAGCAGCTTCCAGAACACACATATAACCTTGGTTACCTGCAACCCTTTCCTGGGTTCTTCATAGTACTTTTTCTTCAGTTTCTGTATCTTCTTGTTAAAAAGACAATAACCTCCCTGCTTGTAGTAAACTCCCTGCTTCACATCTTCTTCTAATGGACCGAAAATATCCCGAAGCAGGGCTGAGCAGCGATCTGAGGATGCCTGTAGGTTTTTCTTATAGAATTCCCCTTGCTTTGTTTCTAACTTACTCTTTAATGTAAAAATAATTTTTAAAAAGGGAAGGAAAAGAAACATAAGTTTAGAATTTGTGGGAACTTTTCTCTAAAGAAAAACAAACACAAAATCAAAATAAACAAAAATGTATAAACACTGACTATAAGGGCATCCCTTTCCCTGGTCCAGCTTTTTAAGGACATTATCCTTGCTCCTTGGCAGTGAAGTTCAATACAGGGTTTTACAGCTTTAAAGGTAAACTACTTTTTCAGACTGGTGACAGATGGAATACAGAATAAACATGGCTCAATGAAAATTTGCTTCAGATAGCTAAGGCTAAAATTTTCTTTACTGTTGGCTTAAATATTGGATCAGTCTGCTGGTACTGGTTATTTAATTTGACCACACATGGTAATTACTTCTCTGTATTTAACTCAGTGAGAGGGTACATTACTAACTTACTCGTGAAAGGAGACATGTTTTAAAATTTTGAGTCTATGATAATCTATTTTTACTATTTATTGGCATTATTACTACTAAAAACAATCTAGGAACATTTGCCTCCCTCAAACATTTATCTCATTTCTTCAAGGCACTTTGCCTTCTAATTCTGTATCCCAGAAGTATGAGAGAAAGATTACCGCTAATTCCGTTAGAAATACTTGATTAACGTCTTTGAAGGAATTTTCCATGAAGATCTTGATGGCTTCTTTCTCACTGGTCCTGTGCATGTCCATCAGTTCCTGGAGTGTTTCCGTTGGTAACTGCAACTTTTTAGTCATCTGCTGGTCATAGTGGGCCATGGCCTTTCGTACTGCAGCTGCATTCTCTATGTGGGACAAAGCCAGGACAGCATTCTCCATGCATGGCAGACTCCCACTGTTGATGGTGTTCACATAGGTTACCACCAAACTCTTTAGTCCTACAAACAGATGACAGTATTTGCTACTGATGGATGATGACAACACTATCAGATGCAATTCTGGATATGTCAGTCATTGGTGCCTTAACGAACCAGTGTCCTTAGCATCATTTGGAAGAATGACAGACAGAAACACCTCAGCCTCTACCTCACATTGATGGGATTAGACCTTCCTCTGTGCAAAGATCCTCTAATGAGGTGCAAGACCCCAAAGGCTAAGAATGCTGGATGGAGACTACATGGGCTTGTGTCTATGGAATGTTTTTGTCCATTTTAAGGCAAGCACCATGACAACAGGCGCCATACCACTTTTATGTCTGTGTATGTCATCAGTCCTGTCCAGAGTAAGCATCTCATTCCAATTCAGAAGCAAAATGTGCTTCCCCAGTCAAAAATTCTCCATCTAGATTTTTTAATTTCAAGATCTTTTAATTTCAAGAGCCAAATTTGCTGGTCTACAGAGCAAATTCCAGGACAACCTAGGTTATTATACAGAGAAACCTTGTCTCTGAAAATCCAAAAAGAAAAACAAGAAAAAAAAAAAAAAAGAGCCAAATTTGCTTAGTTGATACTGTGTTGACGAACACAGAACCAGCTGGGTATTTATGTTTATGTGGGTGTCTGTTGGGAGCACATTCCCTATGGAGGGATAGATACTCCCTTAACCTAGAGGCAGGAGGGAGGGCCTAGTCCCTACTCCAAATGACTTGACAGACTTTGTTGATCCCTCCTGGAAGGCACCACCCTCTCTGTGGAGTTGGGGTGAGTGGGATAGGAGGGTGGTAGGGGGCATGGGAGGGAGGGAAACAATAAGGGAGGGAGAAGGAACTGGGATCGATATGTAAAATACGATAAATATATCTTATTTATAAAGTAAAATACATAAAATAAAATAAGATATTTTCTTTTGCTCCCCCCCTTTTTTTTTTATTCAACAAGGAAATCTGATAGACAAAATCTATTATAAATGCTGGTACCATCTACAGTCTAGCACTACAGAGCTGAAGTTGGTCATCACTAACTCATGACACTCTTTCCTAACCAGTGAGCAGGAGGGCTGGGAAGGCACTCACGTGGTCCATTGACCTTGATGCCTCCTAAAATCGTTTTAACCTGGGAACAGTTGAACACATAGGAACAGAACTCTGCCACTTGTTCCACGAAGTCAGAGTCCAGGTCTTGATCCTGCAGCGATTCCAGCTGGCCAAGCTTCTTCCCATGTGCTGGCCGCTCAAAGACAAAGCATTTCTTCTTTGGGAAGAACTTACGGATACAGAGCCGAGGCAGGTTCAACTTTTCTTCTTTTTCTTTTTGACCAGTACCTAGATGAAGTGAAAAATGGGACTTTTAGCCAGGACCTGGAAAGTGAGTATACTTTGTGTTTCAGAATAAAAACAAGTTTGAAGCAGGGAGGTCAAATTAATCACTGTAAAGGAAAGGGTGAACTACAAATAAATTTGTTTCTAGAACAAAAGAGAAAAATGTTTAATTCTATCTATTTAATCATATGTTAAGCACTAATTCCCAGGAGTAGTCAGCTAGAAATAGGAACACCAGGTATAAGAACATTATAGACAGAAAACTCTGAATCCTCAGAGGTTTAATTGATATGCTCATTTAGCTCTTGTAGGTCTCTTACCCTGTATAAGCTTCAGGGAATTCTCTAGATATTCATCTGCAGAGACGGGTTTCCCATCTAATTTCAGCTCCAGAGAGAAGTCCCTCAGAGCCCACACGAAGTCCGGGAAGAAGCTCACAAACTGTTCTGAGTCCTCCATCTCAGCCTGGTCAGGCGAGGACCTTGATCTGATTCTGTCTGTCAGCTCTGTTACATAACTGAGCAGCTATTAAGGAAAATTAAGGAAAGCCCTGGAAACAACCATATCATCAATCAAAGCTCCGGAGTCATCATCTTGGATTACTTTTACATCTTCCTGAACCCTAGTCCCAAGCCTCAATTTTCCTTGTTCCTAACCTTGGTGTGAACATTGCAGCTACATACACGTGAGTTATTTTATGTTTTATGCTGCATTGACCTAGATGCAGCTGGTTCGTGAGGGTAGGTCACCCCCCTCGCTCTGTGCTGTTCAGAACCTCAGAAAGGATACTGCAGCTGGTCCATGGCCTGCTGGTTGATGGCTCCCATGCTGTTGTACACAAAGGTGCTGCTTAGAAGTACAGCCAGGGCAAAGATCCAGCAGTCATTCTGATTGTCGCCCTGGAAGTCAGAACACACTTGGGTCAGGAGTAGGTTTGGTTCATATGTCACTTTCAGATCAGCAGTGGTAAAATATGCTGATTTCATTTGAGGGCACATTTGCCTAAGAAAATAAGAGGAACCTTTTTATCCTATGCAATGTACAAAACCAAACAAAAGAAATAGCAATAAACCTAGAGATAGCATTCACAGGAGTTCCAGGCAAATGTTCTGTTGGGTTGTGGTTTTATTTGTGATCATTCTCACTGATGCTGTTTAGTCTGTTGTTAGTGTTTCAGTGCTGTAGTCTACCGCCCTGCTGTTCTATGATCCAGTACTGTGACTAGTTTCCTCATCATTATTGGCTAAATATGACGACATGTCATGTATGTAAAAATGAAAGGGATGCCATGGTGAAGTTCAAACTCTTATTGGAAAACTGTATTTCCAGTGAGAAGACTTGGTGGAGAAAAAATGCTTTCAGCCAAGTTCCAGGCCGAGTTCAATCCTCACACTCCTCAGAACCCATATGGTGGAAAAGAGAGCAAGCAGACTCTCTCTCTCTCTCTCTCTCTCTCTCTCTCTCTCTCTCTCTCTCTTTCTCTCTTTCTCTCTGTCTCTTTGTCTTTCACACACACACACACAAATGATTGAATATAAAATTTTTTCAATAGTACACAGAATTGTGTAACAGTGTAGAATATTTAGAGATGAGGGATGAATTGTAGGCTATGCCCTCAGCCCTTACTTTCTCAACATCTCCCAGGCCCTCAGTGTCAAGCAGAACTAGGGTGTGTCCTGGCTTCTGCGGATGAGGGACACACCACATCCAGATCCCCTTGGTGTGAGACTGCACCGTGCAGCCCAAAGAGAACCCTGGAAAGCACAGAGGAAAGGAAGGATTAGATGTGTAGGCACAAGGTCTTCCTGAGAGTGATAATAAAATTAGCACAATCTAACCGGAAAGATTGCTCAGTTATTAAGTGTCCCTGCTGCTCTTGCAGAGGACCAGAGCTCATTTCTCAGCATCTGTGTAGCAGCTCACACCTGTCTATAACCCCTTTTTCAGGGAATCTTATGCCCCTTTCTAGCATCTGTGAGTGCCAGGCATGTACACAATACACAGGCAAATAACTCATGGAACTAAAATTAAATAAATCTCTTGTGAAAAATCAGCACAATCCAGTCAGAAGGATTAACTGAAACCAAAGTTCATACTGATCTCACAGTCAGAGACAAAAGGAATTCAGATTTCAGATATGCAGTCACAAGATCTCCAAACTTGCACCAAGGTATAGCATGAATTCTAATTGGTCTTCATAAATAAAACTCAGAGTCAGTTATCAGGGGTGGAAGCTGAAGGACCAGAGAAGCAGAGGAATCAACCACTAGAGAGTTCTTTCCTCTACCAATGCTCAGACTAACAGGGCAATTCTGTCCTCAACTGCCTCCTCACACTGAATCCTCTGACTGCATCTGTGCTCCCGTCTCCTCCCGCCTTATAGTCCTCTCTCTGCCCAGCCACATCACTCCTGCCTCCACCTCCATAGTGCTGGGATTAAAGGTGTGGGATCCCACGTGCTGGGATCAATGCTGTGAGCTCTGTTTCTCCTTTAGACCGATTCACTCTCCTGTAGCCCATGGTGGCCTTGGACTCATAGAGATCCTCCTGCTTCTGTCTCCTGGGTACTGGGATTAAAGCTGACTGGCTTGTGTGGCTAACTAGTGGCTTATCTCTTAACCAGGTGTGTGACTAACTCTGCACGCTGATCTTCAGGAAATATTTATTAGAGCATAAACAAAATACACCAAGGTTCCATAGAAAATGTGTAGCATGGTCAGCCTCTTATGTGCAACTCCTGAGCTTGCTGTGTGAGGGACAATGGAGGTCCCAGGAAGTTAGAGATGCCAAGACTAGGATGTCCACTGAGGAAAGCTGGAGTCAATGTGTAGGCCTGGCCCTCGAACCCTTGTGTTCTATAAGCAGCAGGACTCTAGAGTCAGGGTCTGTAGATTAATGTTGTCTAGAGACAGCCAAAACATGCCCTATATGTTACACACGGAGCTACAGGGTTTGGTGTTTGCCCTTCTGGGTTGAGTCTTGCTAGGGTGTGTCCTCACCTTCCTATCCCTCTGAACACTGTAAATGGGAATGCTTATACTGTGCCATTATATATTAGAGGTTGTCTTGAGTCTCAGATGAGATGGTGAACTTTTATACAACATTAGAACTCCAAGACTGTAGGGACTTTTGAAGATGCAGCCATAGAATTTTGGAGCCAGGAGCAGACTGTTGTGGTCTGAAGATAAATGTTCATCATAGGTGCAAGTATTTGAACACTTGTTCCCCAGTTAGTGGCTCTGTTTTGGAAGATGTGGAAGCATTAGGAGGTAGGACCTGGCTGGCAGAAGGCAGACCTTTGGAGGTTAGTACTGGCCTTGCTTGTGGCTTTCTGCTCTTTGCTTCCTGGTCAGTCATGAACAAGCCACAAGCTCCTTCAACTACGCAAATAGTCACAAAGTCCCATGTCCCTGCCAAAGTGGACTGATATCCCCTGAACTGTGAGGAAAGTAAATCTCTGTCCTTACATCGCTGCGGTCAGTCACTCCATCAGTCATGAGACTGACACAACCTAGAAAACCTGAAAGCCTGGACTCAGATGGACCCTGTAACTATCTTCATGTGAGCATCATTCAGAATACTCAGCGGCCTTGTCTACACGTGAATGTCTACACGTCATCACTTTATCAAGTGATGTTAGGCACACTTTATCACTGAACCTCAAAAAGGAAGAATATTTTGACACACATTCTCACAGTGACAAACCTTGAGCTATCATACCAAATGAAAGAACCGGTCACACACACACACACACATACACACGCACAAGCACATGTACACGCACACACACGCACACACACACACTATATGTGAGTTCACTTATATGACATTCCTACAACAGTCATATTCACAGTTATAGCACGTGGGGTAGTGGTATAGAATGGACTATGAGCTATTTCTAGAGATGGACTGGGGAGACATATACATAAATTTGTTATCCGTAGAACTAGATACTTAACAAGAAAATTATAAAGACGAACTTATAATGTATTATTTATAATAATAAAAAGTCATCATATATAATGCAGATAGAGTTTTTAAGCATTGGAGTCCCACAGATTCTCCTTGACCATTTTATCAATGCCTTAAAGCTAACTAACATGCAAATTAAATTAAATTATCTTTATTCCTTCCTTTCTACATTTGTTTTAGATGGTAAACTAGGAGTTAGATAAGATGGTGCAGACCTGGAACCAGAGCTCAGGAGGCCAAGGTAAGAAGATCACGAGTTCAGGGCCAGCCTGGACTGTATGCGGAGCTCAAGGCCTATTTGAGCTGTATAGCATGACCTTGCCTCCAAAATGAATGCAAGCAGACAAAGAAACAATGAGAAAAGGAACCCGACATCCAACTGTGACAGGAAGGACCACACCCTTGGGACCCAGGACAGCTGTGATGGCGGCACTAACCTGTTTGTTTCCCTGCCAGCTTGTTCATCAAGTAGGATTTGCCTGTTCGGTAAAAGCCCACGATGGCCACCACTACCACTGGCTGCTTGATGTCAGACAGGATCCTCAGAGCTTCTTGGTTGCCTATCAGTTGCCCTTTCACATTCTCGATGAGGCACACAGGGCCTGGCATGTGGCCCTCTGAGGTCATTGTGGGTCTTGTCCCCTGTCTATAGAGGGAGAGATTACATTAACTACAATCATTTTTTTTTTTTTACTCAGAAGGTAGATGTGTCAAATTTAAAAAAAAAAAAAACACAACAGTGCTATGTGCATAAGAGAATCTGTATAATTTTAGAATATTATAAAATATTATTAAAGGATTTTTTTATCATGTAACAGTGACAACATTCTACTGCTTTCACAATACAGATATTTCATCTAGTTTAACACTGAAAACTCCCCTTATTAAAGATTTTTACCCTAGACACCAAATTTGAAAAGAGTATCAGATTCAGAGACATTATTTTATATTGTAACTGTATATAATTAATTAAATATTCATTTACTCATTTCTCTTTAAAATTAAGTTAATTTATTGATTTTACATCCTGACCAACGTTTCCCTCCCTCCTCTCCTTCAATTTTCCCGCTCTGGGATTCACTCTTCCTCTGTTTCTGTTCAGAAGGGGCAGGCTTCCCGTGGGTATCAACAAAACATGGCATATCAAGTTGTGGTATGATTAAGCACTTCCCCTTATCTTTAGGCTGGACAAGGCAATCCAGTATGAGGAATAGGTTCCCAAAATCTAACCAAGGCATTAGGGACATCCCATGCTCCCATTATTAGGAGTCCCACAAGTAGACAAAGCTATACAGCTGCTACAAATACGCAGAGGGCCTAAATTGGTCCCTGGTTGTTGATTCAGCCTCTGTGAGCCCTTATGAGCCCTGCTTAGTTGATTCTGTGGGTTTTCTTGTGATGTCCTTGACTTCTCTGGCTCCTACAATCCTTTCTCCCTCACTTTAGCAGTATTTTCCCTGGGGTCAGCCTAATGTTTGACCGTGGGTCTCTGCATCCATTTCCATCAGTTACTGAATGAAGGCTCTCTAATGACAATTGAGGTAGTCACCAGTCTTACCACAGGAGTTGGCCAGTTCAGGCTACATATCAATTGCTAGGAGTCTTAGCTGGGGTCATCTGTCACACCAAATCCAGTAGATTCTGTGTGTCAAGTTCCACAGACTGAGGAGATAACTTCAAAAGAAGGGCCTCCTGGAATCAGTTGTGAAACTCTTGGCTGAAGAAAAATATTGGGCTATGATTCTTGTGGCAATTTCTGTTTGTTCTTCTATTCCTTTTTCATACTAAAGAAATGTTTCTGAAAGCCTACACTGATATTTCAAGAGAGAGATACAGATAAGAAACTATCCCCTGAGATGGGCTCACTAGCCATGACCTCATCTCCAGAAAAACCAGCGTTTTCCAAATCATTCACATCATTCATATAAGTACAAATAGTAAAAACTTTCCCAACAATAAAATTTCAAGGGGCTGTACATGTGTCATCAAGAGTGGGTTTAAGTATTTGGTAAAGAAAGATTTTAATAAGAAAGAGTTAAAATAGGTCAAATATTTCAAATATTTGAAAATATTTCAAAATATTTCAAAAACTCACAATAACTAGGTAATAGATTTTAAATAATAACTGACCATAAAAGTTGATTAATTAGATTTAGGAAATATGCAGTTAGCCTTGGGTGATTCTATGTTTAACCCTGGATGATCTTATGTTTTGGATTTCTGTGTTACTGTGCCAAGTAACAATAATGGCATCTGTTTCGGTTTGCTTCACAAAATCATCCCCTGAGAAAATATCTGTATAAAATCCCTTGCTTGAGAACTGCAAAATACACTCAGATTCAAACTGCCCCTGTGTTTGTTTCTGTTGGTCACCACTGAATCCTTACCCATCTAGTCTTCAAGGACCCTAAGTCCCAGGGACTTCCATATCAGGCTGGGGTAGTCCATGGCAGCCATCCTTGTAGATTCCTGGGGCTTTCCCTTGCATCAGGTTTCTACCTAATTCTGAAATGACCCTCCCCTTCCCTTCCCTTCTATTCATCTCTTTCAGTTTTCCCGCTCCATCCACTCCCAACCTGATCCTTCATGTTCCCATCCCTAACCACCTCTAGGACACCTCTTCGGTTTCCTCTTCCAAGGGAACTCCATGTGTCCTGCCTTGAGCCTTGGGTCTGTGGATTGTAACATGCAGCTTGCCTCTATTTATTTGTTTATTTTATTATTACTTTAAAACTAATTCCCACTTATAAGTAAGTATATACCATGTTTGCCTTTGTCATCCTGGGTTACCTCACTCAGGATGTATTTTTCTAGTCCCATCAATTTGTCTTCAAATTTCCTGATGTCACTGTTTTTAACAGCTAAGTAATAAATACTCCATTGTGTAAATGCACCACACTTTCTTTATCCATTCTTCCATTGAGGGGCATCTAGGTTTTTTCTGGGTTCTGGCTGTTACCAATAAAGCTTCTATGAACATAATTGTCATTCTGGTATACTTGAACTTCCTTTGGGAATATGCCCAGGAGTGGTATAGATGGAACTTGAGGAAGATTGATTCCCTCTTTTCTCAGAAACCACCATATTGATTTCCAAAGTTGCTATGCAACTTTGCACTCCACCAGCAATGGAGGAGTATTGCCCTTACTCCACATAACTCCTTACTCCTGCATAAGCTGTCATTTGTGTGTTTGATTTTAGCCATTCTGACAGGTGTAATATGCAATCTCATTTTGATTTGCATTTCCCCCATGATTAAAGATGTTGAGAACTTCTTTCTGTGTTTCTTTACCATTTCAGATCCTTCTGTTGAGAATTGTCTGTTTAGCTCTATACCCCAGTTTTAAAATTGGATTATTTGGTTTTCTGATGTCTAGTTTTCTGAGTTATTTATATATTTTGGATACCAGGTTGGTGAAGATCTTTTCCCATTCTGTAGGCTGCTGTTTTATATTGACAGTGTTATTTGCCTTTCAGAGCTCTCCAGTTTCACAAGGTTCCATTTATTAATTATCTATCTTTGTGAATGTGGTTCTGGTGTTCTATTCAAGAAATTTTCTCCTGTGCCAATGCATTCAAGGTCATTTCCCACTTTCTCTTCTATTGGGTTGAGTATAACTGGACTTAAGCACTCATGTCTTATAATTATAATGAATAAAGACTCCCTAGGAATTAAGGCTTTATTGTTTGATGCATGCCTTTGTGATAATTCTTAGAGATTATAAAATATATTCATTATACCTATCTGAGTATTTACACTCATATTATCGGTAAGAATCTCTATCCACAGAATTAATTTCATTGCCTTGCCTTGCCATTCCAGAAAAATCACCAACATAAAGCTTTTTTTTTAATTGCAAAATTTACAAAATTATGTAACAGTGACCCTTACAAGGACATGGTTTCACAGTAGCAGTATACTGAAACTAAAACAGCTAAGCAGCAAATGATCCAGAACTGAGGGAGGATATTGAATGTACCAATGTAAATCCTATATATTTATGAAAGTAACCATGATGTAAACATCAAGAAATAAGGAAGCTTGTCAAGACCACTAGAGAGGAAGTGGCTCATTTTGTTTCTTGTGTAGATTCATGTGGTAGAGAAAGAAGAAACACAAAGAGAAGGAAGAGAAACACTGGGAATCAGAGGCTAATAGCTGGTCAGGTAGAATGAAGCGACTGAGCAAGAATGTGATGAGTAGTCAGTGGAAGGTCAGTGCTTCAGGCCCAGAGCAACATCAAGGGAGCCATGAGCTCCAGACCTGGGAGCCATGTCAGAGGGCGGTCCCCGCCTCAGGCACAGGAAAGAGGAGTGATCACAGAGTGAAAAGACAGCAGTGGTTTCCAGCAGTAGCTTCCGGAAACTATCACAAAATGTTCCTCTGGGAAAAAGCACCTGTGTCCCAGTGAGCATCCACTGCCACATTGAGATTGGAGATACCCTGCTAATATATCAACCACTGGACCCTCATCCACATCTACACCTTCACAGGAAGAGTGTTCATCTGAGCTGGTTCCACCTGCACCTCAGGAGTGAGTGACCATCTGAGCATTGGGCACACTTCTACCGGGAGCAGCATTAACCAGAATCTCTGTTCTATTTCTGCCTGAAGAAGTGGTCAACGGGGACACAGTGCCCAACTATACCAATTGGAGAAAGATAGAACCCCTGAAGCACAAGCTCCACCTATACCGATTAGAAGAAGAGAAGCATAGACAACAAGGTAAGAATACACTTAACAATATAGAGAGCAGTACGGCACCACTAGAAATTAGTGGTGCTACAACTGCAAGACCTGAACATCCCAACACAGATGAAGCAGAAGAAAATGCCTAAAATAACTTTATGAGGATGATTGAGGCCCTTAAAGAGGAAATGAAAAATTCTCATAAAGAAATGGAGGAAAAGAAAAACAAAACTTTGGAAGTTATTGACAAATCTTTTAAAGAAAACCAAGAAAAAGCAATCAAACAAGTAAAGGAATCGATTCAAGACATGCAATCTGAAATAGAGGCAATAAAGTAAAGAAAAACCAAGGGAATTCTGGGAATGGAAAATCTGGGTAAATAGGGGTAAATTATCAGGAACCACAAATACAAGCATAAACAACAGCATATAAGAGATGGAAGAGAGAATTTCAGGCACTGAAGATAATTTGGAGGAAATAGAGTCATTGGTCAAAGAAAAAATTGAATCCAACAAACCCTTAACACAAATCATGCAGGAAATCTGAGACACCATGAAAAGACCAAATCTAAGAATAATAGTGACAGAAGAAAGAGAAATCCAACTCAAAGGTACAGAAAATCTATTCAACAAAATCGTAGAAGAAAACTTCCCCAACTTAAAGAAGAACATGCTTATGAAAATACAAGAGGCTTACAGAACACTAAAAAAACTGGACCAAAAATAAGGTCCCCTTACCACATAATAATCAAAACAATAAACATACAGAATAAAGAAAGAATATTGACGCTGCAAAGGAAAAAGGCCAGGTAACATATAAAGGCAGACGTTTCAGAATTACACCTGACTTCTCAGTGGAAACAATGAAAGAGAGAAGGTACTGGTCAGATGTTATACAGACACTAAGGGATCACTAATGCCAGCCCAGAGTGCTTTAC